GATATATTATATATATAGCATTAGTTATAGCTTTCATCTATACGATATTTTCTATAAAACCGACAATCTAACTGCGTATTTCACACATTTGTCTTCAATATTCTAGGTTCTCAGATTTATACACTTTCAATCAATAAACAAAAAACCCGCAGCAATTCCATGAAAATCTCTACACATTCTGCACCTTCCCCGCATCCGTCTTACCTGCTGCCCTGATTCATCCTCCGGCGAATTTTACAGTCGGCTATATCCGACAACAATGCTCCGAACTGGTTATAAATGGGCTCAAGTATAAAAATACGTTTCCCATAAACGAAACAAAAAGCCCGTAAGCAAACGGCATTCTCATGTAAATCCCCAGACCGTTTCCCTTCCTCCCATACCATTCCCCATTTGCTTACCTGCTGATTTGATTCATCCTCCGGCGCTGGCAGCAGCTTGGCATTGCTCGCCGTGGTTATGTTGTGCGCGGAATGGGCCGAGGCCGAGGCGGATGCCGAAACCGTGGAATAGTTCTTGGAGACGCCATCGTGCAAGTCGTGCTCGTGGTAGCCCTGGATCTCGCTCAGTGTATTGTTGCTGCCGCTGAGCGTGATGATGCCGCTGGAGCTGATGCGGCCCGAGGTGGCTGTGGTGCGCCCCCCGCCGCTGTCCACCACACTGGACACCGTCGAGATGCAGCTGCGCGTTGTTTGTGGCGAGGGCGTCACCGTCGCCATCTCCCCGTCCGCCTTCGCCCGTCGCATATTCAGCCAGGACATGCGCTGTGGCTGGCGACGATCGAGGGTGGCCGCCGTTGTGATGCCACCTGCACCGCCGATGTAGACGCAGGTGCGCGCGTTGCTCGAATCACTGCGCAGGCGATGCTCGCTGTCGGGGCGTGGCAAGGTGGCCATGCCACCGGATATGTGTTTGTAGATGGGCGCGCCCGTGGGCTGTACACTTCTAGGCAAACTGCTGAGCTGGTCCGCGAGGGCCGCGTCGCTGCTGCGACTCTTCAAATTGTTGTTGCTGCTCATCGATCAGATCTAAAGAAGTCAGAGGAGAGATCAGAGACAAATGTCAGTGGACGGCATACATATACATAAATGAGTTCAAAAGCTTAACAAATTCACATGAAATCCGAAATATCCGCTTATAACTTATTTTCAAACGAAATGATTCACATGCGAGGGTTTTGTATGAATTTCTTGGATTTGCATGCGAATCTAATTCGTAGCCAAGACAAAGTCACAACTAACGAAAGTAAAATTCCTCTCTCTATCTCCCTCTCTCTCTCGCTCTCTAATTGTGCAAATTTCTCGCTGGGAGACAAATATGTCTGCGAGAAAGTGAAAGGCACAATTCTGGAGTCGAGTCGAGGTACTACAATGGAATTAGTCGAGTATATTATGCACGATTATGACATTATATCTGGTCGACTTTCATTAAATTCTATTTCATCTTTTATTATACAATACAAAATATAATATGTGGCAATAACTTCTGTTTGCTCGTTTTGCGCAAAATTTCACTGAACTGAATTCAGCTGCGACTTATTCTCGTTGTTGTTGTTGTTGTTGTTGTTGTTGCTGTTGTCGTTGTTGTATTCTGCGTTTTTATCTCTCTCTGTCTGGCTGGCAGTGAAAACACAGAAAGTATACGAATATATGAAAAATAAAATGCGCCAACAAAGTCATTAAAAGCAACTGTTTAAACACAGAATGAATATGGCTCAGGTTACAAATTTCACGAATTTATACATATTAAAGAGCAGCACAATTTGTAGTACATTGAGGCTGGATGAAATTGGATATGAAATGGGACGAAGCTGTATAGATAAAAGGAGACTATGAAGGTTAATCATAAGCTGCATTGAAAGCTTTGGCAAGTGTCTCTGCATTCCTATATACGATGGATAGCTCTTTCTCGATTTCGAGTAGTAGATCACTCTCACCTTTCAGAGTCGAGTCTTCAAGAGGCTGTTGTCAAACATGAATAAGCTTCTCTTAAATTTGAATACAATTTGCAAATATTTATTGTCTATTTATTTGATGTTTCACAAAATATTTTATCTGATTTAATTCTAATCTATTTTATTGATTCTACTCCCAATGAATGCATTGTCTTAGTAAAAGAACTTTTATTTGAATTTATGTTGCTTTCCTAAATCATTTCCAATTGATTTAAATTCAAATTTAAAATAGACTTTTTAGGTTAGTCTCCTCTTCATAATTAAAATCTCGAATATATTTTGAACTTCTGTCATTTATATTTCACTCATATGTTTCTAACAGTCTTCAGCTAATCTGCTGTCAGATGTAAAGAAACAGTTTTAAGATAGCTTTCGGCAGATATTAAATTAATTCACGAGTTTAATCAGGCTTATTTTGCATGGAAACAATACAAATTTCGTTTGTTTTTTCCCCTACTTTGTGGAGTGAGTCAAAAAATCGACTGTCGCCTATCAGAAAGGTTAAACAAAAGTTGTGTCATTATATTAATGACTGTGTTTGTTTGTTTTTGTTGTTTTTGCTCTTGACAAATATAAAGAAAAAAAAAAAAAAGTCAAGCATCTTATCGTCACGATGGCATACATAAAAAAATGCCAAGTTGCTGGAAACAAGCGCTCCACACACAAACACACACTCACACATACACACTAAAAATAAACAGCTCTTATCACAATCACTTGGAATGCACACTTTACAAAATAATTATGCACGCTTGCACAAATCAATGAGCTCAGCTCAAAATGTTTAAAAACCATTTTAACAACAACAACAACAACGTTCAACAGCTTTTATCACGAGTTCGTTGGCATTGCTGACCACGAAACAGGCCAACAGCAGGCAACACCCTCATTGGATACGTATCTCAATCTTGAAAGCATTTTACACACACTCACACACACGTAGTCAGAGAAAACTCCACTTCATTTGTATAAAATGTTTATGGGCGGCTCTTAACGCAAATTAAGGCACCAAAAAGTGGACGCCGGCTACGGCTGTTTATTATTGAAAAAAAAAAAAAAATGTTTTTTTGTTTGTTTGCAAAAAGAAACCAGGCGCCAGCCACGCTGGAAGATTTGCAAGCAATGCAAATGCAGATGCAATGCGGTTGCAGATACAGACAGCAGATAAAGATATAAATACAGACGGCTCCAGATATAGATGGATGGATAGAGTAACCCGATATGCATAGGCAAGCAATATACAGTAGTACTTATGTTGAAGGGCCCAAATTCGCTGGACCATTCAAACCTGGGCGTCAGTTTAGTGTCTGGAACGGAATCGGAGAAGTTATATAGCACTTGAAAGTGGCAATAGGCGACAGACAGACACACACACACACACACACATACGTATAGAGTCAGACCTGTACAGAGGGCACTCAAATGACGGACAGTGCATTAAGTTACAGGTTATTAACAGGTAAATATTACTGCCCGGCAACTGCACGTACATCATTATGAACCGAGCGCAGCTCTTGACAGCCTTTCTGTTGCTTTTCTTTGTGCACTCGAATCGAACGAGCGACAAGAGCGAAAAGCAACAAAAACTAAGTATGACAATGTGGATGCATTGTAGCCAGGCGCTGCCACGATAAAGGTTCTGACATGCCAAAGCAACAAGCAACAGCAACAACAGCAGCAGCAGCAGCGAATAGAGCGACAGCACCACCAACGCCACCAACAGATGGCATAGGCAGCCGCGCGTAACCACAACAAACTCGACTCGGACCCGCACTCAAAACTCAAACTGGGCCCAAAGTCTGGAACTGAAAGTCTGAACATTAACATGCTATTTGGCCCAAACTGCACTTGCCGGCAAAATAAAAGCGCTTTTACTCGTTGCTGTTGTTGTTGTAGTTCTTGTTGTTGATGGCCATAAAATGAGCCAAACTTTTTTTTTGTTTTCTGTTCAAGTCGAAAAGTTCTCGGAAACCGAGAGCCGGATCCATAAAAAATTGGCTACGGCTGAAAACAAATTTGTCTGCTAAAAATATGCTTAATTTATGCACTCTTATTGCGCTTGCTTAATATGCAAAAAGGAACCGGAAAGAAGGCAATAATTACAGGATAGTTTATTATAGATCTTTTTCTGGAGGAGCTACTAAATGTATCCAGTAAATTTCCAGCGAATTAGTAAAATAAGACTTTGTTCTATAGCAGCAAAGAGCTATAGTATATATTATTATAGCTAGTAGCTCTATAATTATAGCTGAGAGAATTTCGTTGAAAAGCTACGATTTTGCATATGCTACTGACAGCCATAGAGAGTCTTAACTTTTCTGCTGATATCAATCGAAAGTAGTAAATGAAACTGGCATAATATGTACTTCGTGTCACTATTTAAAAACTTTCTATAAACGTCTAGAAATCTACCAAATAATAGTCTAAGAATAATATCCACTAAAAGTAAAGCAGAGATAAATGATAGGCTACATACATACATATATTCAAGTTCCGAAATGACTTTGATGTATTTCAATCTGAGTGTGCGAATATAGTCAAATAATCTCAACATCGATTCACGTTTTGGCTCGAAAATGCCTTTAAGATTAGCCGGAAACTTGGCTAGCAAATGACAACGGAAATTTCAGTTAGTTACACTTCGAGTGCCATACCCTATAGCATATGCCCGACTATACTCTATATCAACGATGCCAATGATCTTCCGTAAAGCATAAGACAACATAGACTTTGACTAACATTTAATCAGCTGAACTTTTGCACAAATCCGGGAAGTCGTCACATTAGTTCAGCTTGACCTCTAGTTGGAGCGAAAGTGCACATTAAGGCCGCATTAAGGGGGTACGGGTGAGTGCCCTCAGCAGCCCTGAGCCTATTAACAAATGCCACAATTATATCACAAAATGTGATTCCCATTTAACAAGAATGTGYAAGTAAATAAATAAATAACTCTATATATAATATATACAAATAATTATTCCAACTAAATTAATGAGCGATTCTGTGACGAATTTCAAGCTGCAGCGCAGCAAATTGCAGCGCAAATGTTTTCATTAGCTTTGAGTAATTTGGATTAGCTTCTGAAAGTCAATTACCAAGCTAGAGTCGACTACGCCTGTGTGTGTGTGTGTGTGTCTATGTATCTTAGTATGTGTATTTAATAATTGAAAGTCGCGACGCTTGGCAAGAAAGGAAAGTAAAACTAGAGGCGGATCGTCTGTTTGTTTCTTGGCTCTGTTTATTGTGGAGCCAAGCAGCGCCATGAACGAAAGTAAAAATAACAAAAATAGAAACAAGTTCAGCATAATAGTGCATAATACGAGCATGACAATGCGTGCGGCACCTGGCACCTGTCGATCCATCAGGTACCGATACAGATACAGATACAGATACAGCTGCAGGTGCTTTGTCATTTCGCAGTTGACTTGACACAGTTTCGCATGCAGCTAGATTATGTAAAACGCTTTGGTTAGTCTTTCAGTCTAAACGTTGTTAACAAGATGCTAGCTACAAGCTGCAGGCTGCCAGATACGAGCTACATGCGGCGAGCTACAAGCGACAAGATACGAGTAAAAGTATCTGACAGATACTTCGTATCTCTCGCTCTCTATATGTTGATTTGCTGCAGCGCTGATTGCTTTTTATTGATTGTTCAATCGAGTGTAATTAAATGTCGGCGGGGCCAGTGGTGCAAATCACTATATGCAGCCACGCCCCAACAACAAGTAAAACAACAACAAAAACAACGCTTCATTGATTTCATTTCATTAATTTACAAATGAAATTTTTTTTTTAGCCTTACAAATTTTGCAACAATTTGTCAAATTGTGCCATTGACTTCATTTCATCAGCTGTTCCACAAAGTTGTTTATTGTTTTTTTTTTTCACTTATTTTTTTTTTTTTTTTTTTTTTTTTTTTTTTGTGGAGCACATCTCGAAATTTTTTTTTTTTTTTTTTTCACGTCGCGCATTCAAATAGCACTTGGCTATATTTTTTTTTTTTTTAGATTATAAAAGACCGAGCATAGCGCATTTTAGGACATGGACAAACCATTTCGAACAACCTTTTTTTTT